ATAGAAAATCTAAAAATTATGCTCAAAATTAAATTATTGATCAAGGTACCTCGCAAAACACATGTTGCGGGTTAATAATAATTGCACATGTAACCATCTCATAGACGCATCTTATGTGGTATACATGGCAGGTGAATGAGCCCATATTCACCTTTGATATTTTCAGCATTCATGGGATTCAATCTCAATTTTAGTTGGTCTATTAATTATTGAGAACAAGCAACGTAAGAGAATTCGTAAAGAACTTTGTAGTTCTTTAATATTTACCCATGTAAATTCTCTTTTATTTTTGCACATCATACTTAAATGTCACGACCCTAAACCTGGACTCGGTCGTGATGGCGTCTCTCATGAAGACAAGGCCATCCGACACTTTCCCATTTCAGTTTTTAAGCAATTAAACAATAAGTTTAAGTCTTAAACAAGATAAAATCCCAAATAATAAGCAGTGAACATTACAGTTTGCGGAAATAAAACCCAACACAACCCGGTACCGGAGTGTCACCAGTCATGAGCATCTATCAATTTAATACAAGTCTGAAATGTCTACAAAGCTACTATAGAATCACTGAAAGAGAAAGAAATGAGATAAAGGGGGAGAAGCACGGGGGCTGCAGACGCCGAGCAGCTATCTCGTAAACTCTAAAATCTGTCGGGAGCTCTCAACTCTCGCAAGCAGGATCTGTAACGCCTGAATCTGCACACGGGGTATAGAAAGTAAAGTGAGTACCCCAACTCAATGAGTAATAATCATAAATAAAGGCTGAAAAGTAAGAAATCACGTAAGGCACATAACAGGCTATAAGGAAGCAGTAAAAGCCAGTAAAAATAGTGAATAAGTAAAGATGTGTAAAATCACTGAGTTTAGTTTAAACTTCATAAAATACCTTTTTAACAATTAAGCAAGCGATGACAGGCAAATAGGAAAGATAAACACATAAAGGATCGCCTCACGAGCACAATGTCAACAATTTCGCCCCTCGGACAATATCTCAGAAACAAAACCAGCCCTCGGGCTATCTCTCACATCACAATGGGTACCCATGCTCACTAGGGGTGTGCAGACTCCTAGAGGGGCCCCTTACGGCCCAAGCGCAATATCAAGCCATCTCGTGGCATCATCACTAGGCTCTCGACCTCATATCAACAAGCCACCTCGTGGCATACAAATCTCAGGCCATCAGCCTCATAATCCTAATCAATGTATCACTGCTGCGGCGTGCAGCCCGACCCAAAAGTATCCTCACAACACAAGCCCTCGGCCTTACTCAATCAGATTCTCGTAAGCCACTCGGGCAACAGTAAAACATGATGCTCATCCCAAAATATTATTTGAAATATCATTTAATATGTTAAAAACAGAGTAAACATGGCTGACTTATGAAATCAGTAGAATATAACATGACTGAGTACAAGTTTAAAGTCAAAACAGTGAGGAAATATCAGTAAAAGTCCCATAAGGGTCCAAATAGTTGGCACTAGGCACAAATATGGCATTCAACCCAAAACATGATAATAACAAACAGTTTTCAATCAAATATGCAGTAAAACAATCATTCGGGATGGACTAAGTCACAGTCCCCGACAGTGCACGACCCTACGCTCGTCATCTAGCGTGTGCGTCACCTCAATATAGCATAATGATGTGCAAATCCGGGGTTTCATACCCTCGGGACAAGATTTACAATCATTACTCACCTCGATCAAGTCTAAACTCTAGCTCGCGATGCCTTTGCCCTCACGAATCGACCTCCGGATGCTCCAAATCTAGCCAAAATTAGTACATAACCATTAAAATAAGCTAAGGGAACAAAACCCACTCGAAAATATTCAATTCACATAAAAAATCCCGAAATTGCTCAATCTCGGAATCCAATAAAAATCACATCAATAAAATTCTCATTCACTCACGAGTTTACCCATATCAAATTCATCAAAATCCGACCTTAATTGCCCATTCAAATCCCCAAAAGAAATCTCAACTTTTCTTCCATTTTTCCCCCATTTTCACTCTAATTTTTCAAATTAAATGATGAAATTCAAGACAAATCATGGAATTAAATCAAATATGAGTGAAGAATACTTACCCCAATAGCTCCACTGAAAATCTCTTTAAATTCAACCTTCTCCCGATCTCTCCAATGGTTTTTATGAAATTGGACTTAAGCCCTCGTTTTCAAAATATAATCTCACTGCCCAGGCATTTCTTCATTGCGAACGCGACATAACCCTCGCGTTCGCGAAGCACACTGCTTTACAGAGCGAAATTCCTTCTACACGAACGCGATAACCTTCTCGCTAACGCAAAGCAACAAACTCAACAGGTCTCGAACGTGACCTCTACTAAGCGAACGCGTAGAACAAAAGCATTGGGGACCCAACTATCCCCCTTCCTCTATGGGAACACGATAGGAGACTCGCGAACGCGATGACTAGAGATCACACCTTTGCAATCGCGGAACTATCTTCGCGAACGCGAAGGCCAACTCCACAGCCTCACACCTTAACCCTTCGCGAACGCGGGACATGCATCGCGAACGCGAAGGTCAAAAACCTGCAACACCAATAGAAGAAATTCTGCAATTTCTCACAACATGAAATGGTTCGATTGACCACCCGAAACTCACCCGAGACCCTCGAGACCTCAACCAAGCATGCCAACATATCCCAAAACATCATTCAAACTTGTTACAACCTTCGAAACGCTCAAACAACATTAAAACACCAAATTTACATCGGATTCAAGCCTAAGAATACCAAGAGCTTCCAAATTACGCTTTTGATAAAAAAACCAACCAAACCACGTCCAAATGATTTGAAATTTTGCACACACATCCCAAAAGACACAACAGAACTACTGCAACTTTCGGAATTTCATTCCGACCCCTATTTCAAAATCTCACTTATCGATCGGAAAACGCCAAAATCTCATTTTCGTCAATTCAAGCCTAAACCTTCCACGAACCTCCAAAATGCATTCCGATCACGATCCTAAGTCCCAAATCACCTAACGGAGCTAACCAAATCATAAAAATTCTAATCCAAAATCATATACAAACAAGTCAAAACTTTCAAATTTCAAGCTTCAAACTGAGAATTGTTCTTCCAAATTCCTTCTGATTACCCTGCATTTACATAAGTCATAATACATCACACGGGGCAAGTCATGACCAAGAACTGGCGAGCAAAGTGCAAAAGCTCAAAACGACCGGTCGGGTCGTTACATTAAATTAACATGGCTAAATCAATTATGCCAACTGAATAAATTATCAATATTGATAAACTTCAAGTTTATACCATGACGTTTGCAATTATCAATAAAATCCAAGTTTATTATGATATGGGTTTTTATATCAATAAACTTCTACTTTATTGTGGCATTCTTTTATTTGTGTAGTACAAACTGGAGAATAAAGTGTGTAGCTTTTCACATACATATTACCCCGCTACAAGTTGTAGTGTTAGAAGATATTGAATCTTTCCTTTATTTATAATCTCAATATAACCAATCGCTTTCGCGAATACTTTAGAAACTCAATAAGTTTCTTTGAGATTTACTACAACATAATGCCTTATCGATACTCAATTTTGTTCCGCCAAAATAGTAATAACTGGCTCTTCCCGAGCTCTCAATTAATTTTGTACTACCACATATTCATCAACATCCATATGGTGAATATCTCTTTTAAAGAGAAAGGTATACCATTATGGTCATGGTCAAAATTATATGCAAGATCTATTTCTTGCATTACTGTTATCCTTTAGTAAGCACATTACCAAAATATTTTTGCGTACAATAGGTACGTGACCAATTATCATTCATGACATAATAATGACATTATTTTCTTATATCATCTCAAACCTCCTTCTAGAGGTGAGTGTGGTATATTCACTACCACTTGCACGTTCATATTCTTCCAAGAATGAATATGTATTCATAAATCAGATGTTGTCACATTCACATCATGAATGGATCATAATCATCTATATGTGCTTTACAAAATCTCATGTCAAATCAATGACAAATATTATTTTCACAGAGTGAAGGATTATTTTGAGAATCATTGTTATTCTCATTACACAATGATGACGATTATAATTTCGTCTATTGACACGTCCTCATCCATTGATACCTTCAAGGTAATAATTTTGTCTTCTTTCACACTTATCACATATTGCTATCACATTCTCTTAAGAGAATGAGAATAAAGCAAATTCAATGGGACGAGTTTTTACTTTTTGTGCTCACGATCATATATGACTTTGATCATGGCAAGACATAGAAATTTTACCACTTCGAGTGGTTATAATTTCTTACTAACTCCATTAGAGTAACAATCAAAATTTATTGTCTTTGCTTGTATTTAAAATCAAATTATAGAACTTCAAGAATTTAAAAGAGAAAAATAAGATAAAATACTTACTTTAAATCCAGAATTTAATCATGAAGTAAGTTCATGGAACAATTGACAATCATTATGCTCAATCTCAAAGTTTCTACCCAATTGGTTAGAGTCTCGTGTTGATAACGTATTATGAAACAATAAAAGATGAAGAACAGTATTGCAGAGAAAAGTAGGGAGAGAGAGATAGTTCTTATTGATTTGGGATGAATTACAATGGAATAGAACCCTCTATTTATAGGGAAAGAGTGACTTAGCCACCAAATAACAAACCTAGAATCTCTTTAGAATATGGACATTCACCTTAAATACAATTCTATTTATAACAGAAAAAGACTTTTATAGCTTTTGCTTTAAATAAATCATAAATATTTGTATGACAGTAAATCAATTCAATTAGGTAAAATGAAAATTCTAAAGATAATTTCTGTCAAAATAAGAAAAATTAAGTATTTTTTTTTTGAACCATTAAAAAGAAGAGAGTGTCACCTAAATTGGGGCAAGAATAGTTATAGAAATGTGTGTTCGTCTCTCTATTAACAAGAACAAGAACTACAACCATTACTCATTTTGAATCAGCAGAAAAGCGCGCATTTGATGAAACCCGAGGATCTCCTTCAGCATCTTAGTCCCAACCCCGTTCAGAAATGCAGCCTCGGCTGCCCAATTCTAGACGGCTTTCTCGGCGGCGGCATTCCTTGCAATTCAATTACCGAATTAGTTGCTGAAAGCGGCTGTGGCAAAACCCAAATCTCCCTTCAGCTCCTCCTCTCCGCTCAGCTTCCCACTTCTCTTGGCGGCCTTTCTGCTTCCTCCTTATATCTCTACTCTGAATCTCCGTTTCCCCTCCGCCGCCTTCACCAACTCTCCTCCTCTTTCCCCACTCTCCACAATCCATTGGGTAATATCCTAACTCATCCTCTTCACTCTGCTCACCACCTGTTCGACGTATTGTCCCAAATAGACTCCTTATTATTATCCCGTCCTACTTCCTTTCCCCCTATTAAGCTAATTGTAATCGACTCCATTGCTGCTTTATTTCGCTTTGAATTTGAGAACAACGCGCGCGACCTTAAGCAGAGATCTGGTTTATTCTTCAAGATTTCAAGCAAATTGAAGGAGCAAGCTAGGCGTTTTGGGTTGGCGGTAGTGGTAATCAACCAGGTTGTGGATGTAATTGATGATTCTGATAGTTTAAGAATTGGGAATTCCACTTGCTTGTATACATCTGAGAGGAAAGTGTGTGCTGCTTTGGGTTTGTCATGGGCTAATTGTATTAATACAAGATTATTCTTGTCAAGAAATGAAGAGAGAGTTGCTGATGAAGATTGCTTTACTACACAAACTCGGAGGTTTATACGCGTTGTTTTTGCTCCTCATCTGCCTGATTCTTACTGTGAGTTTGTTATTACTAGAGAAAAAGTTTTTGCTTTAGAAAGATAAAACATCTTTGGCTTAGTTAGTACTATAGTAAAAAAGGAAAAGATTTTTATCATGAAGATGTCTGACCAGTCTTTCAATTTCTACAAAAAGCTGCCCTTGGCACCTCAGTTTTATTGCCAAAATAATTAAACCATCAAGCTACAGATATTGTACAGAATAGATACAAAAGAACATGATACAATGTACTTCAAAGCATTCACATGACACACATAAATACAAAACAAAAAATGATTGAAACTTGGTGCCGAAGAAATTAAAGAGAACTTTAAGCTATTAATTCACAACTGCACAATGTTTCCTGATTTCGCCATTAGAACCGGTCTTAACTTCAATTTTCCCCATTTTCTCCATGGCCTGAGCAAATTCAGCGTAAAACTCTTTGAGTGATCCTTGGACTAGTTGGTTGATGTATGATTTTGTCGTAGAACTTGTTGGTAAGGCAGCATCTGATTGGAAGAGGCCTCTCCTCTTGAGCAAAAGCTTGAAGTAGCTAAGATCAAATGTCCTGAAACTACCAGGGTCCATCTCAACTATTGTTGTATTGTCATTGAGAGATTTGCATTTTTTGGCCTTAAGATTGGCGGCGTATTCGCTGTCTAGAGATGGATCTTGTGTACCAAAAGTTCCAGTGAAATTGTACAGACGTGTGGAAAATGATGGGCAATGAGAAATTCCAATCGTGTGAGCACCTAAAAGAAAAGTACTTATCATTAAAATGTAAAAACCTATACCTACTAGAAATGAATACGCCCTCCGTTTTATTTTATTAAATGATGCATTTCTATATTTTGCACATGTTCTTTTAGCTACAAAAATGTCATGTCATGTTTAAGATTACCACAACTTCTAAAGATAATGTTCTTATATACCAAAAATCTTTCTTAATTTCTTAAATTGCATACACAATTAAATACCACCATATATAATGGTATGATTAATTTGACTTACCAGACAACAGGACCAAGTCTTTTAGATTAAGACCCTTCTTGGCAAAAGATGACTGGAGTCTGGTGAAGTTACTAGTTGGAGCTGGAATATCTGCTAAGGCTTCTGAGGCATTTGATATTCTTCCATCTCTTCTACCAGTTGGCACATTCCAGTATGGACCTCCCTATATATTATTGAGAAGAAGAAAAAAAGAAGAGAATGTGACAATAAATAGGAAAAAGTTCAAGAAGTTAATTATTTATTTGCTGAAATTTTTGCTTACAGTGACAACTACAGAGTCTCTAGCAACCAAGGCAACAATATCAGCACAAGAGACAACTCCGGGGCATTCTGCTTCCACTATTTTCTTCACTCCATCAATAAATGAGAATCCTCTCAGTGTTTGATTGGGGATTGCCGCTTTTTCGGTTTGGTTTCCTGTACTCTTAGTTGAATTCAGGAGAACTGAAGCATCACAACCCTGCCAAGCCCCCCAAAAAATGAAAGATTAAGTCACAAAAAGTACTACACTCAGGAAATGAAATATATATAGCAAATGATTTACTAAATGTGAATTACAATTATGCCTCAATCCCAAGCAAGTTGGGACTGTTATATATGAATCCTCATCGTCCATGTCGCATTATTTGAATGCCTGTCTCAATCCAATTAAAATAAATTACTTACCCTGACAAAGCAATCATGAAATTGCATTCTGAGTAAGGCAGCTGCAAGAGACGGAGCGTTAGGAATGTGCTTCTGGACATAGTCTTGAATGATCTTCTCTGCTTTTGGGCAACTCTTGCTATAGAAGTTGAGTTGTAACTGGGCATGGCTAGACCCTAGGATTCCTACAAAAATCTATACTAGAAAACCCAAAGAGCTAAATTTGGCCATTGTGTTGCTATTGTTCAAAGAGACTTCTTGTTTTGTTGCGTTTCTGTACTCAAAGAGCAGGAATTAGAGCAAATTTATAGACACTTTGCTTTTTAAATCTAACTAACATGTGTTTATTTTAGTACTCCATTATTATCGTTTATCTTTCCATAGCATTTAAAAGTAGATTAGTTATACTTGCCAGTAAGATCACATATCATATTCACGTTGACCTCGACCTTCTCAATTGGCGCCATCAGGAAAATGTTTAAACCGAAAGCGCAAAAAATTGTTCAGATTTCTAAGAAATTTAGGAAAAAAAAAACTAGAAACTGTGCTCATAGTAACGAAAAGTAACAATTTGTAGTGTACATAAAAACCACAGCTTGTCTAGGTGTTCCTCTTTTTTTATATGTTTCTTTTTGGTAGTAGTCCCCCCCTCCCCCCGAGGGAGAGTGTTATCTACGGTTCGGACGAATCTAGTAACTTTTTGTTTAGACCCTATATTTGCATTAGAAAATCCATTAAACATGTATAAATACTTAATTGCGAACCCAGTAACTAATGAGTTATGGGTACAGTTGCAAGTTCAGAACCCATAAACTTTAAATCCTGGCTCCGCCTCTGTTCCCGTGTTGAGGGTGCATGTTACGCCCATGTTATTATTTGAACAAACTAATACCTGCTACAATAGCTAGTAGCAAGGAAAGCAATTATATAGTACTACATGCTTTTGCCATATCCTTGTTAAGTCAAGCTACTTGTGTCATTTCAGTTATATCCATTGAGATCACCTGTTCTATACAGATAGCACAATGTAGAGACCAATCCAGTAACAATTACTTGCAAGTCAAACGATGGCTCAGAAAAGTTGGTCCTTTCCTTATATATGTCGGAAGTTGGAACATGGCACTACGTACTTAGTAAAATTTTTTACCAGAAACTAACACTTCAACATATATTAACAGTACTTGGATAGGATTTTTTTTTGGTCTTGTTTCTTCCAGGAGAATCTTAATGCTATTTGTGCCAAAGAATATTAATTTGTTCTGTCTACATGTCCGAGGACATGGCCCTGAATAGGGAGGTATGGAGGTCGAGCATTAAGGTTGTAGGTTAGGGGATAGTTGAGCGTTTTTCTTCGTTGTTCTAGCTAGTCTGATAGTGTTTATATAGGACTGCTAGCGGTTATTGTTCCATCACACTTTCTATTTTTTGTTTATTATTTTTTTACTTTTATTTATTATTTTATTTTCAATTTTTATTATTGTCATAATTATTGTCCTTCCCACTTATTTGTTGTCACTTACGGTGTTGATCTTATTTGTATGTTTTTTGTTGTTGTTACAGATCGTTTGTTTTTTAGCCGAGGTTCTCTCGGAAACAGCCTCCCTACCCTCATAGGTAGGGGTAAGGTCTGCGTACACTCTACCCTCCCCAGACCCCATTAGTGGAATTATTACTGGGTTGTTGTTGTTGTTGTTGTTGTTGTTGTTGTGTCTACATGTCTAAAATCAAAAGGCCTTAGTTTTTGCTGAATTGTAGTTGGAGTGTTAGTTCAAGATCTGTAGATTCAAATTTTAGGTCACTTTTACTTATTGTAGCTGTCTTATTTTCAAGATACAAATCCAACATATTATAGATATCTTTTGAGTGACTTGATATTTTACCTTGACATTGTATACCACTTAAATCGTACAAAACAAGCTAAGCCATCTCTTAAAAAGATAATTCTCTTAGTTTGCTTTAGTTGTAAAAATTGCACGGGGCGCCCTATTTGGTCGCTCCCATTTAACCTATACCTATTTTTTTAAAAACTTTTAACTTGTACCCACTTTTTAAATAACTTCAGCCCCCTTTCTCCTCCTTCTCCTCCTCCTCCTGCTCCTCCTCTTCTTTCTTCTTCTGTTGTTGTTGGTGTTGCTATGGAACTTCAGTTCATGGGATGATTGCCATAAATATGGTAATATTTTTTTGTTTTTTGGGCAAAGGACTAACATTCTCATATAGTACGCATAGTCTTTTTAATCTTAATCTCCTTACCAGTGCCTTTTAATTTTCTTTTAGACAGTGATATCATGATTTCTTCTCTTTTTCTTTTATTTAAGTCAAAATATTACTGCAAATTCTGGAGTGATTTTTATTAGCAGATTCGAACTGTATTGGATTTTAGATCGATAAGCAATGTTAATTAAGCATGATTTTCTCGTCAGCAACTTTGACCACATTGGATTTTAGATTGATAGGCTTAGTTGATTTAGCATCACCAGTTCTAGAGCTGAAGTTCGCCAGTTACAAAACAAAAACTTCAGCTCTAGAGCTGAAGTTCGCCAGTTACAAAACAAAAACTTCAGCTCTAGAGCTGAAGTTTGCCAGTTACATAAACAAAAACGTCAGCACACTTGCTACTACAGGCCCGTCTACTAGAATGCTGAAATTTTGCGTGATTGTCTTTGTTACTTCAGCCCCGTATGTTGAAGTTATGCGAAAAAGCGGGTACGCTTGCAATTTTTTTTGCAAAATGGGCACAAGTTAAAATGTGACACAAAAAGCGGGTATAGATGCAAATTCCCCGCCTTAGTTGTAGCTATGAACATGCTAGGTCCTTGGTATGTATATCGTAGAAATTTAATTCTACAATTTCCTTCTTGTAAGTTTCTATCTCGTACGTAAGTAGATATATCTTGTGTGTTGTGCATGATCGAACATGTTCGTCTAAACAATTTGCAGGAAAAAAAAAAAAAATTCAATAGACGCCTTGGCAAAGAAACTTTAGTTGCCTTTTCGATTTGGTGATGGCTAACAGAAAATTATTGAATGAAAGCGACGTCATAATAATTGGATTACGTCAAAGATAAAATATTACAGTTTAGGTTGTATGCTTTGACAATAATTTCGTATGCCATCAGGTTAAGTCTCCTATGAGATTTTCATCTTCTTTTGAAGCATGTTTACAACATTTTTTGCTTCCGGTAGAATCCTAATCACTTTTATTTCCCCAATCTTTTCTTTTTCTTTCTTTTCTTTTTAAATTTTTAACCTCTCCCAGGAGCTCACCACTTTGCTTCCTTGGTAATTTGAACCCGCAACCTTAAGGTTGAAGGTGGAGAATGTTTACTACTTGAGCAATACTTTCTTGTATACTATTTGAACTAGTATTAGTACCCACACGATGTGCGAATAATATTATGATCATG